AATGCAGCCTTCTCAACAATGGATGATTCAAATCAAATATACAATATTCAAGAATCATTAAATACATTGAATCAATTAATTGTAGGACAAAGAATATCAGGATGCGAGTGTGGGCTGTGTTTGTGAGTGACTGTGTGGGTGTGGGTATAGATGCGATATAAATATGGTAACTACACCGGCCCACCCACGCCCACACCCTAACAACTAAGATATTTGTAACAAATTCACAAGAATACAAACGAGATGTACGATCTTCGAAGATTTGTTTGAAAATTATCCAGTTTATATGATAGAATAAATTTATTCAAAAGAAACTTCTCTTTGATCAATTGCTTTCTTTACGTACGTATGAAAAGTTGTGATTTTGAGTCGCAATAATCTTACGAATCAAAAACCAGAAAATAATAGTTGCAAAGTGAGATAGAAATATGGTGAGTGAATCAATAATATCGTGTCTTCTAATCTTTCGAATGAGATTCAACTCGCTTACAGCAAACGTCGCAAAAATACGATTTTGTTTTTTTACATTTCGACGTAGTTAAAACGAAAACGAAGAGCAAAAGTTAGACACCACTTTCTTCTAACAAATGGTTTTCGCTTGAAAGTACAGCTTATGATAGATAATGAATTATAGAGATAATTATACAATCAATCGATAATACGCATTTTTGTAGACTTCCCTTGATGTATACGCAAAAGTTGTCATATATATCGCAAAAATCTTGATAACGGAAAATCAGAAAATATTGACATCAAACTGATACCTTTTATTTTTCGGCTTTAATTAGAACGTTCTTGAGGGTGTGGGGCAAAAGGAACGATGCTCACATTCACACCCCTGATGGCTGTAAAAGTCGTTTTGTATTTAAGTAAGTTTCTATAAGAATAATATTATTTTCTTGTTTCGTTTCATTGTAACTTGCATTCTTCACTAATATCATTGTTGCTCAATCAACCTTTCATAATAACACAAATCAATTATTTGTTGTACTATTATATTAATTGCTGTTAATTGAAAACACATTTAATACTAAATTAATTTTTCTTCATAAAGTGTTGCATCATACATTTTTTCATTTATATTCTTTCGTATTTTTTTTCTTTTAATCTGTTTGATAAAGTTACTTCTGCAATACATATAATTACATCTAATTATCGCATATTTCTCAAACATTATCAAATAAATAAAACAATAAATTAATTTATTACAATTCTTTCGATTATTTTTAGTACTAATAGACATAACTCAAAAAGTATATGAATTTGCCACTAAATCGTAAGAGAGATAATTATTTTAAATTTGTATACATTATTTTCTCTTTAATTTTACAACACAACTTTTTCTAATCTTTTTTCAATGAAATATACAAACAATTGAATAGCCTGTTTTACACCTTATTTGGCTATAAAATCATCTCATTTTAATGTTTGTTATTTTTATTGATTAATTTAAAAACAAGTATTTTCTCTTATTTAGATACATGAAGATAATGACGATAGTATCGTTAATAGTTTCATTTACTTAATGAAGAATTTATTGAAAAATGACTTAAAACTATTAATTCTAATATAATAAAATAGACAACAAAATGTAAATATTTCTTTTTTGTTTTTTAGACAAAGGATTCTGAACAATCGAAATCGAAACCAAGTGAGAAATTCTATTAGAAAAAATATTTCCATTTTGTTCTATAGAAGAAACTAATTATTAACATTAAAACAACAAAAGTAATTCGAACTGCATGATGTTTTTATACTAAATACTTTATTACATTAATTTATTTTCAAATAGTTTCATTGACATTCATGATGAAATCGTTAAAAATAGTCAATAGTATATCATTAACTTATAGCTTTAGAACTAAAAACAACTTCCATTTATTAATTGAAATTTTGTTTCATATATTAATGTGAATTTAAGTATTATTTTTGTAATCAAAAGCATTTGAAATAGTTATAGATAGCAAAGTAATGTGGCAATATGTCTACAAAGATATATTCTCAAAGGCTTTTTTCACTTTTGTAAATATTCATGATTTATTTTTATCATAAACTCATAATGAAAAGATATATAAAACAAAAGAAGACTACATCTAACTAAACTTCATTATGTTTTTGTGTAAAAATTTCAATTATTGATAGTTGATTCTTTTAGAAAACAACTATTCAACAATATTTCGGTTGTCATATAATACTTCTTTTAAATAAACAAATTAATATAAAAAAAAAGTTAAATACTCATCGTGATCTATTTCAATAGTTCACTGTAAAAAAACTTGAATATTTCATACATAAATAATCATCAATGTTACGATTAAATCTTTTTATACATATTTATTTCGATTATATTTTTTTCTTTCTTACATTTATGCACGTGTCAATGTGTATCTAATTGATTTGTTCTTTTACTTTTCTACTTGCGCTTATATACATAGACGTTTTATATACAGTGCGCACAATTTGCATACATTTCTTTTCATATAAATCGAAATCAAGACAAACATTAATATTTAAAAAATGATCTTAGTACTATTTTCATATTTATTTTCTCTAGATGAATATTTATTAATAAGATGATTAAAATACATCAAAAGTTAAAAAAAAACAAATGTATAAGATTACTGTCTAATGATAATAATATAAGAATGGTAGATCTGGATGAAACATAAAAGAAGAATTGTATTATTAACTATTAAACCAATAATTATTTCATTCAAAACATTAATTATAACCTCTTTAAAATTGTGAGAATTTCTATATGAATCTCTATATAAGGAAAGGATTCAAGAAATATCATTTAAAATTCACATACTATTGCAACTGGCTCCTTGTTTCATGCTTGAGAGAGCTCTGACGAATTCTTCCTCGAAATCGTCATCATTGTAAAGATTTTTTGCACTTGTTTGGCTTATGATAGCAATACCAATAAGAATGAAAGCATCTTCTGTAGAAACTAAACAACAAAATACATATGCAAACATTTGTATGATTATATAGAATATTTTACCTTAATGTGTCTGAGAGTTGTAAAAATTAAATGAAGGTGAATGGTAAATACATGATTTTCGATGGAGATTTATATAGAGAAGATTTTATTCTTGATTTGTTGTTTATCTTAATACGATATAAAGAGATAGAGGGGTAAAACTAATCATTGCCATTAAATCTTCCATGTGTTAATTTAGGTGAAAAGGATTGGCGTATTTTTTTTATTTTAATGAAAGAAAAATATATTTATCTGTACTAATCACTCTTATAATAAGATTTATTTTTTTGACACTGACTGCTATCTGTCATTATGAAATTGGTGCGCAATAATCGATAATAGTACACTGTGGTTTTGAAGCAAAACAAGACTCAAGTAATTGTCAAATACAGAGTGTGGTGTGTTTACCAGACCTTAACAAGAAATAACTAGTCATCAATTTGATAATATATGCTGTCCATTACTGTTTATTCATACAAAACTGTCTCTCTTACCTTGATTACTTTTATCAAAAAGAAAAAAAACAGAGTAGATAAAAACAAATTTATGCATAAGTATAATATACACAGTTGAGTCATTGACTTTGTAATCGTATGCAGAAAATAATATCAGTTAGTTATATTTATTCTGGACCACTTTTCATTGATGACAATTTACATTCAAAAAAGAACTCTTTTGCTTATAGTCAGAAGATTTGAGTATTTTTTTCAAAGTTTAACTATAATGTGTCACAAAACGCTCCTGATGCTAAATTAGTGATAATAGATATTTTTTAAGAAGTGAGAAAAAGAAATTTATGATGATCTGTATTTCTTATCAAGCCATATAGATTAAGCTGCGGTTTGTGTTGATATGTTTTGTTTATTTTCGAAATCACATTTATATATGTTAAAAGTTTCAATGTGAAGACAAATAATTGTATATATGTGAGTAATTCATGGATATTTGGAAAAAAAGAATTAAATAAAAATTTGTATATAAATAAACTTTCATTGATAAGATACTTATCTATTAATATTTATATATTTTTTCTATTCTGTATTAATTAGTAGAAGAATCGTTCATATCAATCAACATCCTTTTTGTGTCTATTATTGTTTGAAAGATATTAATGAATCAATATTCGTTAAATTATTAATATTAGAAGAATTTTTAAATTTTATTAACGAAAACAAGCATGAGCAGCCTAGTTTTAATTATAATATAAATGCACGCCTTAGTGCATAACTTCAATTCGAAAATAAATCCATAAATATAGAATACTTTCTTTTTCAGGCAAAGAGATAAGTGCAACTTGAGCTTTTATATAAATATATAATAATAAGTCATAGTTATGTCGATTTATTGCAGTAAGTCAATATGCCGCTGACACTTTGTCATTGAAACGCAATTGAAAAAGAAATATAATACATAAAATTTTGTAAGTTTAATATGTCATAGACCTCCTACTAGTGAACAAAAAATATCTATTGATTTAAAAATATTGTAAGAACTTTGCATTGTTTTCTGTTGAAAAAACAATAATATTTCGTGTGAACATATTGAAAAGAGTTGAATTGTAAACAGTTTTTAAAAATCACAAAATAACTGGACCTATAAATGATAAAGTAATGCATGATCTATCTAATTTACTGATTCAAGTTTTATAATTTATACAGACATAACACTATTTTCGCACGGAAAAGAAATTATTGCACAATTGAATTAATAATTTAAAAAAAATAAAAGCCACAACCCATTAAATAAGAACCAAACTTAAAACAAAAATTAATGAATAAGTGAATAATGACAACAAAGATAAAAAGAAAAATTAGACTAAAACATATATTATCAAAATATAGAAATGAATACGACAGATTATTTAAAACATGTCGTTTCTTCTTAGAAAATAAATATTACCTTTCAAGGAGTATTCATTTCACGTGTACAAAATATATAAAAATATAATTTTTTTTTCAAAGTAACGTTCAAATGAATATATTCGACATATTTCATTCCAAAACAAACATTTTAATTAAGGTATATTTGAAAGTATAAAGTCGTCAATATAAATAGCATTCGGATGTAAAGTAGGTTTATATTCGAATAACTTAGTGTATTCATGCAATAAATTCCGCCAATAACAACTTACAGCATGTTCATTCAAGTAATTTTGCACTAACTGTTGTCCTTGTTTACCTATTTCTTTAGTTACATTCTCATGATTCTGTAAGAATTGAAACGTTTTATTAAACGCTATTTCATTGTTTATTCGTTCCACAAATATTACATTTTTACCATTTTTCAAAAGATGATACCAATATTCCTCCCATCGTTCAACAGGATCATACACGACGGAAGAACCACAAAGTAAAAGGTATTTCAGTCTAGACGAATATGTATTACCTTCTAGATGTAATAAATGTTTATAATTACAATGTTGTTCCAGTGTAGCATAGGTATTCGAAACTGATAAAGATACATCAACGATAGTTCTAACCCAATTCATCGCTGCTATATCTGTAGTATTTCGATACTGCTTTGCTGTATTAATATACCAAGTTCTTTTCCACATGTCGCCTCCACGCCAGAATAATTTTGGTATTCGTTTTTCATAATCTATTTGGCGTGATGCATTCAATATAGACTGAAAAACTTTCGACCATCGACCAGCACGTGCTTCGGGCCAGCCCCATAATGTAAAACATGGCATTAAAACTATTGCATCTGGTCGTAAGCCTATTTTCTTTGTATTACTTTTTGTAAAGGCAAAAATTGGTACATTAAAAAGTACATCATTGAACCCTTTAGGTAACTCAACTACGTCTCCAACGTCAAAGAAAAGATCAAGATCAGGAATATCTGAAAAAGTATCCATCATATGTTTGATTAATAATTTTATACTGCGACTACGTGTTTCATAGTTGGATGCTGTAGATCTTGGAACAATATAAAGTTTATTTTGAATAATTTGAATATGATGACAACTAACACAAGAATTTGATATATTTTCAATATCTTTTAATAGAATTTTTCGATTTTTGAATGGTTCTAAGTCGTTATGTATACGAGAAAATAAATTAAGTTTTTTAGTTTTTGAATATAACTGATAACAAATATGCTGATCTGATTGAATTGATAATTGCCGATAGTTGAATGATTTATTATTACAAACAAAATTGAAAAATGGTTTCACAATATCATAACAATCGGTAAGATTGATAATATTAAACAAACCTAGATCATTTCGAACATGCAGTAATCGATTTGGTGACAGATCAATTTTTGTCATGACGAACCAGGCTAACATGAAGAATACAATAAATAATAAAACACGATCATACTTATTACTATACGTAATACATTCCATCGGTTAATATATCTTAATTTAACACTTTTATTCTAGAAAATAATGTATATATAGATGACATTATACAAAAAAATATCATTTCAGAATATATATTCATGGCTTGAAATGGAAAACCTTACCAGTGTAGTTTCTTAAGAGTTAAAACAGAGAATTCATGTAAGATAGTTTTTGATGTTTTAGCATAATTTCTACTGTAAAGCATATGTTATTAATCTCTCTTCTCTTGTTCTCATACAAATTTACATTTGTTATTTATTTCTTGCCTTTCTCGTAATCACAAAAATGTGAACATGAAGAGTATAAAGATATTTCTTGATTGATCGAATCATATTTATTTCATTGATATAAAATGAAATGACTTGCGTTAAAACTTATTTCTTCTCTTTTAAATATTTAAAAATATTCTTTAATTTTCTAAATGTTGTTCATTACTCACTTTTTTCTCTATTATAATAACTAGTTCTTTTTTATGACATTTTCAATTTAATTCAGTTCTCTATTCAACATAAATCATATTTTATTGTAAAACATCACCATATATTTAATCGATTATCACAGTTAGCAAATTATTGTCTAATAAGTAATACCACGATAAATATCTTTGTTCTAATTTATAATTGCAATGATATATTAATCGAATACAATAGTATCAGTCGAAGAACATTAGATAAAATCTTTTCGAAGTTTTCTTACTGATAAATTATTCTTAAATACAAATGTCCACGAACGGAGCAAGGAAAATTCTTTTCTTTAATACAATATGTTACTCATTATTACAATCTAGTCGATTTTTCTATCTATCACATATTCTAGTTAAATAAATCAAATGTATTTTCTTAATGAGGTAATGATGCACTTTTATTTCCTTTTCAAGTCCTATACAATTAATCGTATAATCTTAAAAGGACGCTACAGTTACTGCTGCATGTTCAGTTTTTTTAACATGATATACTTTAGTTATTAAGAATTTTAGAGACCAGCACAGGAGGAAAAAATAAAAAGGGGGTGTGAAGGCCGAGCTATAGAATGAGACGTACAGAAGAACGAAAAGAGAAGAAATAAAAGGAAATCGAACAAAAGTAAAAAGAAAAAATGAAGAAGGAAGGCCTTCTTTGATAACAAACGAATAAGACAATAAGACCATGATAACAAGAATAAAAGAAACGGCAAAAGCGTTAGTTTTTGATTTTTTTTTCAGTGAAACAATGACGTACTTTTATTTCATTTCTGGTCCTGCAAGGTTCATCATATAGTGTAGTTAAATAAATTAAATGTATTTTTTTAGTGAGACAATGGCGCACTTTTATTTCCTTTTCAAGTCCTATACAATTAATCATATTTTGTAGTCAAATAAATCAAAAGTTTTTTTTTCAGTGAAACAATAACGTTTATTTGTTTTTCTACTGTGATAGAGTTAATGACATATTATGGTTTTAATGATTTTAAGAAAGATGTACACAAGGCACGAGAAATCTGGTCTTCTCTGTCCTTTAAGAAGCTGTGATATGTCTATATGCTGAACATCTTATGTACATTAACTCTTGTTTAAAAATAAAAGCATTTTGATTCGTATCAAAAACGTTCCGAAGCCATAAATAACACAGGTTGTTTTATCTGATCTATTAGAGCATTATATACTTTCAACGAACATAAACTCTAGTGAAAATAGCAAACAAAAACAAATAATAACAATAGACATATATTTGTAAGAGATAATTGTCTTTTAATTCATTTAGTATCTCAAAGACGAGGGTGTGGGTGAAGGTGAGAAAGGAATAAAGTATACACAACTACGTTCCAACTAATCGCACCTTCAATCATGCTCGTCGTCTACCTCATCGCCACCAACACCTACAGCCATACTTTACTTATTTTTAATAGAACTATTTTTAAATTTGAGTTATACAAATATTGTAATATTTATTATTTTTATCTCTTAGTTTTCATTTAACCTAAAAGAAATAATTCATATGAAATCTAATAGAATTGATTAAATCTTGGATAATTTTAATTTAAGAGTTTTTATATCAATAATTAATCCTTTTATAATGAAATTATAATTAAGGAAATCAATAAAAAATTCAATAATAATATTTATAAAAATCATTTTTATGTCTTTTTTTTCTTTAAATAACATTAAATCTTTCCTTGATTGAAATTCAACTTTTAGATATTTCAATTATTATTAATGTTTTTTATTCCTACGAAATAATATTATTTGAATGTAACGATAATTGAATAAATTGCACAGAAAAGTTTTAGCTTTACAATATTTATGTTAAGGATACTTTTATATTTTCAGATAAAAAGACATTTCCCATAGCTGAACATATTGTTGGCAAACTAATTTGAAAAATTTTATCATGAAATTTAATTATTATAACGAGGCGCTTTTCTTAAGAAATTCTACTTGGAAATCTCAATATGGATCAAGGACTAATACAAACACATTCAAGTTATTTTTATCAAATTTTAAATCAACAAAAAAATAAAATTCTAAAATGATAAAATTTGTTAATTTATTAAAGAAAAATCTTTTCAACATTTGTTTTGTTCAACAAAATTGATTTCAATTCGATTTTCATTAGCAATTTGTCATAAAATCTTTCTTTCTTTTCAATTTTGAGTGATTCTCAAATTTTATCAAACATAAAATCCGCATTTTGAATAAGTTTTATTTAATTTAATTTAAATTACAAAATAGTCTGTTTTCTTTTGTTCTAAAAAATTTCAATAAAAGATGACGAATCTGATATTTATTTATTCAACGTTTCTAATCAAAATTATCAAATTAAATTCAATCTTGATGAAAAAAAACAAAAAGATTTTTCCTTGTTCTTTTCTCATCACAAGATTTCTTTCTTTTACTTTTATTTCTCTATTTTTTATTTAACAAAAAATTCTTTTCTATTTTCAAGATCAAAATTTCATTCACGAATTTATTTCAAAATTTACAATTCGATGATTTCCCCAATCAGCAACATAAAGATTTCCTTCATCATCAAAAGATAAACCAGAGGGACCACCCAATTGATTTCCTTCACCATTTCCACCAACAACAAGTTCACCTACTTCGTCTCCTTCAGACCAACGCATTACTCGATGATTCTCACTATCTGCCACGTAGATTTGACCTAAATGATCAACAACTATACCTTCAGGATGGTACAGTTGATTCCAATTTCTTCCTTTACCATTTCCTCCAGCCACAACTATTCCTTCTTTTGCACCTTTTCTCCATTTCATTACACGATTGTTGTCAGTATCTGATACATAAACAGATTCATCTTCATCAACAAAGATAAAAGTAGGAGAATATAATTGATTGAGTTGATTTCCTTTTCCATTTCCGCCTGCCACTACAATTCCTTCAGTCTTATATTCTCCCATATTCCATCGTCTCACTTCATTCTTAGCAATATCAGAAACATAAAGAAATCCATTTTTATCCATTGCCAAGCCATAACAAAAGATATTATCAATGAGAATTTGTTGAGTTTGATTCAGCCATCGAATCACTCGTTTATTTCCACGATCAGCAATGATAATCGAATGATTTTGTTCATCAACAATTACATCTGTTGGATAATTCAACTGACTTATTCGATTTCCATGGCTATTTCCACCTGCAATGATTTGTCCTTCCTTTGCATTATATTTCCATTCAACAATACGATGATTCCAATGATCAGCAATAAAAATATTTTTCTTTCTATCAATAAAGTTTCCAAAAGGGTGATTGAGTTGATGTAATTTTTGTCCTTGTCCATTTCCACCAGCTACAATAATGGCATTTTGTCTCCATGCATTGAATTTTGTTTCTAGAAAATGATGGAAACAAGAGATTTTGATAAAAACAAGAGGAAGAAAAAAGAATTTGAAACTTTTTTCCGAATCGAAATTTTTATTCAAAGATAATTTATCAATAAAAAAAAATAAAGATAAATTAAAAATGATTTAAAATATTTCAATTAGAAAGAAATTTTATCTTTTACTTTTTCTTATTAAATCAACATTAAAATAATAGAGAAAAAAGAAAAACTTTGATTATTTAATAAAATTTATAAATATAGAACATCTATTGATTCCATTATGATGATCAATATGTTCGAAATGTTAAAGAATAAAGAAAAAAAATAGTAAAAAATGATTTATAAAGAAATTCAAACTAATCGAAATAAAATAAAATGAACGAGAAAAAATAAACAATACAACTAAGATTTCTAATTGAATTCTTTTCAATATTCATCGACTAGTACATATTCACATTTGTCCCAACAGTTACTTTCAAACTTATAAAAGTTTTATTAGGGAAGTTTTCTAAAACTCCAAAAATAGATTCTGGTTCTGAATAAAAAGTTGATTTTCGATTTATTTTCTTCATTCTTTGTATATTCAATATAGATCTTAATGGGATAGAAACGACTTCATAGGATAAAAAAGTTTTAGATTAGGATATAATATTTGATAAAAATTCAATAATGAAATTTTTACCTGAGTATTTATTCAACAATAAAATATTTTGAAATCTTCAGGTCAAAACAACATTTTCTTGTTAAGATATTCAAGTCATGAAAAAAGTTCATATAAAACAAAGAATATTAGAAATATCTGAAGAAGGAAACATTGTTTAGATATTATAATTTCAGAGTATTTTACTACAATTAATAAATCTATTATCTCTATACAGATTTTCACATCGAAATATAATCATTCAATATTTTTAATATAAACAGAAAAATAAAACTTTGGACTTAGTAACACTTACAAAATCTTTTCTATTGTTTGAGTATTACTTAATTCTATAGAAAAAATTTATTTTCTAATAATCTATTCAAGAAAAATAATAAACTAATCAAATGTACTGATTAATAGACGAAGGCTAGTGCTTCGTCATCGTATCGTTCAACGTGCTCCCAAATGCTGCGTATACGAGAAATCTTGACTACATTGTGAGTTTTTCACTATCAGAAATTATAAGTTTCCGAATGTGCTACATTATATATCGGTGGGAATCCTTTCAACATATGATTGTCATATCCTCACATAAACCCTAGGTGTATGTTTTCAACACGACTAAAATCAATGGTTAATCATTACACGAAAATAATAAACAGAAGATCTGAATAATCTCATGCATCGATATATAAGAATCCAGTTATTGTCTATTCTTTCAGACAAACATTCTGGATCACAAACCAAACTATACTTATCTTTAGATTGAAAAAACTATGATACTAGGCGAAAATCTATAGGATAGTAAGACCTTCTATTGCTGAGTTTCAGCTTGGCTGTAAATACTTCTGTGTAAAGTGAGAGATTTCAGATGAATTATTTAGTTGAATATGTTTCCACGTTAATAAAAAGCAAACTGAATATACGATAAAGGTCTTCAATCAACATACCTTTTTGAAAATAAAAATCTTCATGAAGACATAAATTTATCCAAGGTCGTTGTCTGTGTTTTGACTTAAATTTTATTTCTCTTGAGACTTCTTTCATCATATCTTCTATCTTTGTATTCGATGCCGAAATATGATTTAATAGTGAATGTGTAAAATAACTGTTTCCATTCGTATGAGGACCGTCAGCAAATGATACCGTACCAGGATCAGCTGAATATATTAAGACAAATTGAGATTTCTTAGGTAGACGGATATGTCCTGATAGGGCTTTGCCAAAGGCAGGTTTGGGATCGTGGTCGTTTTCCGCAATTGTAGCCTTCGTTTTCCACGTATTATTTTCTTTGTCAGCACGACATGCATCGAGTATAATGATATTCAATAAATTATCTCTACAGTTATTCAACTGTTTTAATAGTTCTTCCAGATTGATACAATCAAATTCAGGATTGTGTATGTATTCAATTGGCAATAAATAGTTTTTACCCTAAGATAGTATTATAATTTATGAGTTCGTACAGAATTTTTTGTGGAGTGGGTGTGCGTGTGGATATAAATATTTACTTACCTTGTCTTCCATTCCATGTCCCGAAAAATAAATTAGTACACAATCATCATCCTTAATAGTTGCACAAAAATCCCGAATGGCAATGTCCATCTGACGCTTGTTTCGATCGACATGTGGCGGTCCACAATGAAAATCTGAAAATATTTTTTCCAATATAGTATAATTTCAAAGGAACTCTGAATTATTTTACTCACCTAGCTTTCTTAACTCGATGGTCATATCCTCTGCATCTTTCTTACAACAGTTTAATTTGTTAACTGGATAGGAGTCATTACCAAAAACTAAAGCCAATCTCCGACGAGCCATGTAATTTGTTTTTCACTTTCTAAAATATCAGTTTAAATATTTTTTGAGTATGAACGCTTCTAAGACGCAATAAAGTAACGCTTGCGTCTTGAGGGTGGGTGTTAGTATCAGCATGAGATACTCACACCGACATCCACATCACCTAATGAAAGTGAACAAGGAATGGTGCATATATGATACAAATTTCTTAAGATCTGTTTGACTTATTTTTATTTACGATTGAATGCATGTATTTTTTGTTTTTTCAAATTAGGTTGGGCATTATATAAACTATTGTACTAGTGGAGCTTAGCAATATACAATTTCTGGTGTTAAGTTCTGTTGTATTCAAATATCTTGTATCCAGATATTAATATAGAAGAAAATATTTCTTCTGGTCTATGTCATCATATACTTGCAGTGAGCATTGTTTTTTACAACAAAAATGCGTTGATGATTCTATAGCCATCAGCTGTTCTATACTAACTCATTTCAAAGCAGCGACGCAAGGAAGTTAAAAATCAGATCGACGTATTGTACGAGGAAGCTTCAGAAGGTTAGAAATGACTTTCTCGATTCCTTGTCTCGTTTACAAGAATTAAAAATTTATACAACTCAGATTTACAGTTTTCCTAGAGTAATAGATTGAGATATGAAAATATATCATAAAGATACTGTGCACCAAATAAGAATAGTACAGTAGTAATTACCTGTTGAATATGATATTCGACGATCGATGTAAAATACAAGTGATCACTGATTCAGAGAAAAAAATTTCTTCATGGTAAGGAAGAAATGATGAAGTAATAATATAGAGAGACATGTTTATAATGTTATTTTTCGATTGTACAGGTAACGATCCACAACTAACGTAAATGTCCGAAGAAAAAAATTCAAGAAACAAAAATTCCTATCTTATCTTTACGGTAGTAATCAGAAATGGATTGATCGTTCTTTTTCCATAGTAGCAAGAAAGTAAGAAAAAGTCCATCACATCTAGCATAGGGGAAAACACCAAGAACGACAAAAGAGAAGAAGAACAGTATATGGGAAAGCATCAATAGGTTTTATTTATACTTAAAAAGTATCATATAAACAATCAAATATGTTTTCTATTTTGAGCATAGAAATGTCTAATGCATCGAACAGCATAAAAGTCATCTAATTACCACAAAACTTCAATGAGTAATTAGAAGACATGAATATAAATGTCTCTGTATATATTTTGCAACACATTCACATCAATACACGCTGCATCGTTTATTATTTATATTAGTACTATAATAAGAAAATTAAAAATAAAAATTGTATACAAACTTTCTTTATTTTTCTCTCGTCAATCTTATTTTATTTTTTATTTCTAAATTACCTTGATAAAGTCGTATTTTCTTGTTTTTTTCATGTTATTTTATTCATCTATGTATTTATTTATACATTACAGATGAGAAAAATACTAGACATTCACTCACTATAATTATTATTTTCGTTTTGTTAGTCATGCACGTTATTCATTGCAGAGAATTAGTGTATTAATGCGAAGGAACGAAAGGAAAACATACATACAAATTTTCTTTGTATACATAATACGCATCAATGGCAGAACAAACGAAAGTAACTTGTGAGTAACTCTTATTTTTTCTATCCTTATTTTTTTATTACTATACTGACTGTTCAAGGCCATATTTTTTTTTCTTTTCTATTATTTAATATCGTAAACGCATCAAAATATAAAAATAAAGATTCACAAAAGAGCATTTTCTATTCATAACTGATCTTTCTTCCTTATATGAATTGATGTTATATTGTTGGTTCGTTTCAGTTTCTTGTTTCGATCTACTACTTCATTTTCATTACAACACAAATCCTTTATTGTCATATAAATATGTTCTTGTGGTGAAAATTGAAATGAATCAAGGTTACTGTTCATTCAAACCGAGTTTTCATCATAGGTTAGACAATTTAAATATATACTGCGAAAAAATCTAAAATAACAAAAAAGCACTATTGTGATACAACGTTATAGTTATTTGGAATATGTCATGAAAAAAAAACAAAATTAAAATTACAAGAATAAATTATTATTTGAATAATAACTGATTTCAGTTGGATTATAACCATGAATATATAAATCGAAAATGAATATTTAAAAGTAAATTTAAACAAAGCAAACAATATTTTCATGAATACTCTCATATGAGATGAGACAAAAATAGAAAAAAATATTCTTATAAATCTATTCAAGATATATGATATATGATGCTTTATAATTTGTTTTTTCGTATCCTTTATTTTCGCTCCTTCTCTTTTCAAAAATTTCTATTTTCCCATTTTGTTTTGCAACATATAATATCTTGCTACTTATGAAAAAAAA